CATTCCATTTGGAGTGCCTCTCCTTAGCATTTCATCAAATGTGTTGGCCAATACACACAAATATTGTACCCGCTCCAGCCAAACAACTAAAATGAAACCTCAAAATTAAAATGAAACTCGTTCAAAACTAAAGCCACAACCGCGACCAGGAAGGCGGCTGTGGTGCGTGGGACGTCGGAGGTCGTCACGGGTCAGCCTGCAACGTCGTCGAGTCCCGCTTTTGGTTGGTACCGGTTCGATACCATTTTCGGTACTGTTTCAGGAATCTCGTTTAAAATTTTTGCATTTCGATTTGCAGGTTCCTGGTTGTGGTTTTCGGTCGTTCTAGCGCTGCTCGTCAGGTAGCAATAGGTCGCCGATCGAGCCCAAATCAAACTCGATCACATCGAATTATGAAACAATAAAGCATTCATACAATCGACCGTCGAGGAAAAAACGAAGGAGTAAGGGGAAACGTCCTTAGTCGGTAAATACCCTCAGATCAGGCAACAGACCATTGCCACCGGCGCTGGTTAAGCGATCCGAGAGCGGGACCCGACGCCCCCATATGAATCCTGCCAAGAAGTCGATGCTGCTAGAAATCGGTCCGTAATCCTCGAAACTCTCACCGATAAAACGAAACTGAAGACATCCCCGCATCAAGAAATAAATATTTGGGAGGGCGCGGTCCACCAGAAATTGCTCCTCGAAACATCGAACCGAAATCAAAACCAACCCACTTTCGGGAGCATGGAATAAGCAACCGTACGAAGCAGAAGCGACGGTCACGTCGGCACGACCGTAATTCGCGTTCTCAAAAAAATCAGCGCAATTTGCGCAGGAGTGGAGACCTCGATCGGGAAAGGCGATAGGCCTAGGGTTTCCCCACTCTCGGCGACGCAGGAAGAACGTCCACGTTCGCGGCAGAAGCGCAGGGAATGGGAGGTCGCGCTTGGGCTGAACGTGGCGCCTCGTGGAGCCGTACTTCGCTCGAGGGGCGGTCGGTGCGACATCTGTCGAGTGGGGATGGAATGAGTGATTCATCAAATCTGCAGTAGATGGGAGGTGCATCGACGCTACTTCTTGCCTCCTTCATCGTCCCGATTCCACAGGAGGCAGCCCCCGCTGTCTCGTGATGCAGGGGCGAGGCGGCCGATGAGGTGCGAACAAAATCGATCTTGTAAAAGCTGCAACGAGCAAGAAGCCTATGGCCGAATAAAAAGGGCTTTCGAAACTCGGTCCAATCCAAGGCCGAGGCCTTCTCACCAGCGACAGCGTATAACCAGAGGCGACACTCTGCGGGATAGGGGAAGGTCGAAACATTCCAGAGACATCCGATGGCTTGTGAACACTTTCAAGAGGCGTGCTCCGCGGCAGCGGACTCTGCAATCGACTCGGTCGGGGATTCGACCAGAAGGGAACCCTCACAAACGCGCGTGCCTCGTCGAGTCGGCTGCTCGACCACGCTCGAGCTAGAAGATCGACAGCGACATCTACACACCGAGCCTCTCAATGATGGGTATTCGAGCAGAGTAGAGCCTCCAATCCAATGCCCACAGAGCACGTCTTCCCTAATCTATATAAAACTTGGATAAACGGAGCGCCCATTTCTGCTAGAGATTGGGACAGAACGCCCAGGCACCTCCATGCACAGTAGGAACTCGACGATGGAGCGAAGATGAATCCGTAACATAATATGGGTCTTCCTTAGAGAGCGTCTTCGATTTACCTTGCACGCAACCGTTCGCCGTGGATCGAAATGAAATTCCCAGTTTGATCTGGCTTCGATGGGGAGAATAAAATTTTATTGTAAAATATGGGGGAAAAAAAAAACATTTAAATGAAAAATAAAATTTACAATTTGAGCACATAAAAACGAGAATTTGATGCTGGCTGGATCGACGACCGGGCCGGCTACCTGACGAGCAGCGCTAGAACGACCGAAAACCACAACCAGGAACCTGCAAATCGAAACGCAAAAATTAAAACGAGAATCCTGAAACAGTACTGAAAATGGTATCGAACCGGTACCAACCAAAAGCGGGACTCGACGACGTTGCAGGCTGCCCCGTAACGACCTCCGACGTCCCACGCACCACAGCTGCCTTCCTGGTCGCGGTTGTGGCTTTACTTTTGGTCGTTGTGGCAGCCGGGGCGCGAGCGCTCGTCGGACTCCTCGCGGTCGTAGTGACCGGCTTCTCGACCTCCGCTGCCGAGGGCGTCGTGGCTTGGATCTCCCAAGGGACGACTGCCTCCTCCTCGGTGTGCTGGAGCACTTGACTGCAGTCCAGCACACCCATCAGCTTCTCCTTCCCTTTCACGTCCACCTCCGCCACGAACTACAAACAAATTGCCATTCAAACCTCCATCTCATCCCCCTCCATCCATCCCTCCCATTCTTCCTTTGATAGGTTTCCTCGCACCCCATAGAGGCGTTCTGCATTATTGATGACGGTTTTTCGAGCAAGTACCGATTCTCAACCAGACATTCAAGATTCACTTAATCTTTTGCTGCAATGCTGCTGGTAAGAACGAAAGGGAACCAACTCAAATCGCCTCACCCCAAGGGGACGCTTCAACGACCTCCCACCCCCTCCACACTCACCTCCTTGATCTCGGGGCAGGCCCGCTTGAGCGTTTCCCTCTGGAGCCTCAACGCGGTCCTCTCGCTAGCCACCGAGACGCTCTTCCGGCATTCTTGAGACGTCGGCACGTCGAGGGGGACGCCGAACGCGAACGCTCCGTCGAAATCCGGCGGCGACACCAGCGTCGCCGACATCGTGTCGTTCTCGCAGAGACCCCACACTTTCAGGTCCCCGCCGTCGATCAGGAGCGTCGGACCTGGACCGATAAAAGACCCTCAAAACCGGTTCGGGTCCCACGAAATTCACGAGATTCCTCACCTTTCAGCGCGTCTCTCCTGCGTCGATCCGTGACGTTCAAATTCTTCGTGCCGTCGCCTCCGTAGCGAGTGGGTACTGCGTCATAGCCGGCCCTGGAATGAACAGAGGCATTACCCGAATCCACCTTGATCCACTTCCGAAAAACTATCGATCGTAACGTTCGATCGTAGCCGTTCCCTCGAGTCCTCCAGCCTTTCCGTCATTCCACACATTTCCATCCATCCGACTCGACCGCGAAACCCTTTCATAAACCTCCATCCTCCCCTCCCCGTCCAATCTCCCCTCGACTCACCCCGCCTTGTCGCATCCTGGCGGCAGCGGCGTGGAGCACCGCCCGTCCCTGCACAGCTCCAGGTTGCAGTGCAGATGCAGGTTCCCCTGCTTCCCTACCTTCGTCAGCTGGTACAGCGCGAACTGGGACATCGGGCCGCTCTGCAGCGGGGCGCATCCTCGGTGCACCGCGTTCAGGTCGTATCTCCTAAGGGAAACGGGTTCCAGCATGGAATCATTCCGCGTTCACGGCAGAATATTAGATTACATGATCCCTCTTTCACGCGTTCAAATAAGGAAAAAATAAATAAATTCTGAATCTCCTTTAAATATTTTGCACCTCTTTCCCACTCTTCCCCAAATTTCTGAAAAACGCGAACTCACTTTCCGTAATCGTCCTGAATGTAGCAGGTGAGGAGATTCGGCTGGAAGGCCTTCTGCAGGTACTCGTCGATGTAGAAGGACAGCGTGACGGGGCTGTACCCGACGGCGGAGGGGCCGGGCACCCCGGCCGAGTAGTCCTTGTGCACCACGCCCTTCACGTACGGCTGGTAACCCTGAGACAACCACGAGACACTTCAAATTCACCAAACTGACAATCGACCGGAAAAATCGACTAGATCAACTTGACGGTGACAATTGACAACTGACCAAATACCCAATCGAAGCAATAGTACTTTTCCCATTACTTCATACATTAATTCCATTGAAAGGATATTTTACCATTACACTTACAACGCAATCCAGAAAAAAAACTAACAGTCGCAGAATACGGCGGCCGATCGACCGCATAGAAGTTCCCAACGTCCTTCCTCTCCATATGGTCTTCGGGCGGGAGACACGTGGCGACGATGTTCGCGTCCCACTGCTCCACCAGCCGCTTGTCCCACTGCACCGTGATCCAGTGCTGGAACCTGTCCCTCGCGCCCCTTGCGCCCGCCTGAGCGCCCTTCACCCCGCACACCTCCTCTCCGATGGAGACCTCCGCGTAGCGACCGCCGCCGCTGTACAGCGGGCAGTCGAACAGGTGGTAGGGGTAGATCACGCCAGTGAAGTGGTGCGAGAACCTAAAAATGGTCCAATAACCTGTTTATCTTGTTCAACAAACAGGTCAACTCCCTTAAAATTAAATTGATAATTATTAAAATTAATGTAACGTCTTTTATAGGGAAAATGAGCCGACGCTTCCCGGTAATCAGTATTTACGCTTTCCGGCAACCCTGCCAAGGATTTCCGGCCACCTCGACGCAGAATTCGCTACGTGACAAAAACGTGCTCGTCATTTTCCATTGCACGTCCGGAAGTCCCGGTTTCCGCCGCGATTAAGCAACTCATCGGCCACCTCACCACACGATACGATGAATCACGACACCACGCAATACAAATCCCCGGGAAGCCATCCGGTTAAACCCCTCAAAATAACCTATGACGTAATAAAATCCGGTACGGTAATAAAATACGGTACGGTACCAGAACTTGAGTATCATCCGACCGGGCTGGCACTCCACCTTCACATCGAGTATGCACCTCGCCACCTTCTCCGGACACTCCTTCCTCGGCCCCGGAAACGGCTGATACCCCCCAGCCACCCCGTACTCCTGCCCCCACGCCCCAACCACCTACCAACCACAACCCCAACCATAAAATAAACCCCCACACAAAAACCGAGAGAAGGAGGAACTCACCAGCAGAGAGAGAAGGAGAGCGCGGACCATCCTGCTTGCCGGCTGAAAGACGACTGAGCCTCGCGTCTGCCTTCAGTTTGACTTGAACCCTGGGATGCGCGTACCCCGTGACCCCGAGGAAAACTTGCTCCCTCGTCCCATCTACGCCCCGCGGGGCAGACAAGGAAAGTTGCTGCGTCGACCGCGTGACACCACGCGCACGCGCACACGCACGCGCACGCGCACACGCACAAGCGCCCATTACCGGCCCCTATCAGACGCGATCGCTCGAGACGGCCCGCATAAAGCCATTGCAAATAACGTTTATGAGCCGATCGCCTGTGAAATGGGTGCCCATCCGTACACAAACCCTATTTACACCTGCGAGAGCAGCCTCTTGAAGGACCATTACAGGGTCGATTACACGGACGATATCCAACTTAGCCATCGAACACCGAGCCAATCTTGAAACACTGTCCGGTGGTTATGAAACACGGTTGGTTAGACGGCGGTTGGCCGATATCTTCTCAGACAATGACTACATGAATTATCGCGTCCCTTCCACGACTCATCGCAGAAACTCATAGAAATTTCCCCTGACCTTCCCCCCCCCCTTCCCCGCCCTCCCCCCCCC